TTTCAACCCTCTTGCGGCACCCGAAGGTATAAAAAAAAATTTTTTTTTTATCTCCCATAGTAAGGAGACTAAACTGCAACTTTTTTTTATCTATTAGAGTTCAATTATCAACATTTTCAATATTTCGTTCCACCCTAATGATGAATCAGCTTCACCAGATGAAGACTTCGAAATTCAAATTATCAGTAAAAACCAAGGAATAAAGTGCTTATATAATACCAGTACATATGAAGAAAAACAAATTAAAGACATATATTTGTGTTTGCAAAATTTATTTGAATTTGACATTCATGAATTCAAAAGAAATGTACAACTAAACCAACTAAAAATGTGAAGTCAAAAAACAAAGAAAAATCATAGATTTCCATATCGAATAGCACTTCTATAATTATTATTTACAGAACTAAATAGCAATACCTTATAATTACAAAAGCAAAAATTCTAGAAGAACTAAAAACGTCTGAACTTATTATTTTAAATGACTATTACTATGTAAGGAGAGAACAGGATAACGATTTATCAGATAACATTATATACATATTTTTTTTTTTACGCATTTTTTTAATTTGTATTATCACTATTCTTTTTGCATAAATATAAAGAAAAATTATATATTGTCTTATTTTTTTGCCTTTATACATACTTATATACTATTATTTTTTTTTGTATTCTATAATATTTTTTTTTTAATCTATCATTCAAATGCAATTGCTCATGATATTAACTTTTAACTATTTATATTATCTACTAATATTTAATATTCACATAATAATCATTATATATCATAAATACTAAATTTGTTAATCAATTTTTTGCCTATGTTAAACAATAGTTGTGAGGGCACAACACTTAAAAAAATTAGGGCGGATGTCGTAATATGCACAATGTTCTGCATTACGCATCTTACATTCATCAATATTTAATATTTAATTAATATAATTAATGTTTAATTAATAATATAATTTAATATATCAATATTTAATACCAATTGTACACAAACAAATAATCAATTTATCTGTTATAACATATACAATGTTGTACACTAGCTATTATATATGTATATATATGTTAAATTGATTATTGTACACTATACATCTTATCTTAAAATAACCATCATGTTATGTTCAATTTAATACAATAAATTGAGAATCACTAAATGCGCTGACGACAACAACCCATGAAGGGGTAATAATTAAAAATAATATAAAAAGGCTTAGTTCTGCTTGCACATTAGTGAGTGAGCAAGCGTGCCAGCGAGCGACTCTATTCTCTCTGCTTTTTGAAGATCTGAATTCAATAAGGAATTCAGAATTCTTCTATTTGATTTATTTTGAACAAACTAGCCGCGACCTCGTGTTGTCGTCGGTACATTTTAAAGCGATTTTGAATATAATTATTTTGCGTTAACACTTTATTTATTTAAAAGAGACAGTATAAATATTTACGCAAACCTTGACGATCTTTGTACAAGCCAAATAAAAAAGTAAATAAATTTATATTAACCCAATTATTTATAATTAATAATCTGAGTAAAGAATGATAAAGCAATAGATCACATATTTATATTCAAACTTTATTAATTGTTACTGACTAGTTCGTACCTTATACATAATCACATTACATGGTATTCGTGAGATGGCCACCGCCTCTTCGTTGCCTCAGTGTATTATTTCAGGTACTTACCAGTTAGGTCATTTGTAATATCTCTATAGAGAAACTTTAATAATTTCTTTTTATATCTACTTGTCTTTATTGTTCTAAGCCCTCGGACTCTACAACCCCGATAGAACCTCGTTGCACCTGAATTGATCAAATCCCCAAACATCCAACTTTGGTCAAATATATTCTCTAACACCGTTTTTGCTTATTTTTGTATTACTACAAAATTATTAAATCGATAATTGGAAAACGTTTCAGAAGAATTTACTATAAATTACTATTTTTATTATTAATATATAGTATTTTACAATTAATAAAAAAGAACATTATTTTAAGAAAATTTGGAAGATCGTTAATAAACAATGGAAAATGTAAAAAAGAAAATATTATAACATTAAAAAAAGTGAAATATTATTTTTCTACTGTTAGGGGTTTGTTTAATAGTTGAGGATCTTGGTCAAAACCAAGTATCGGAAGCTACCCGACGCCTGCCCAAATATCGTCCCTATCTCCTTAAATGAGTTTTAATTGCCTGAAGGAGACACAGGCAATCGTGTACCTTAGTTACACGGGATAGATTATTAAATAAAATTAGACTATTGTTTTATGTCAACGACAAAGTAAAGTTATATTTTAGATGTTCAGTAAATATAAGTTATATGTAATGTACAATACGTCTGACCTGAATCCTAGTACAGTTGGTTAGTAGGTATATCCAAGTGAGACGGAGTTGGTTGGCTATGATGACAATTGGCGATAGACGGGTCGTTGAATAAAACAAGTTAAGTTATAAATAATATAAATAAGACGAAAGTAATAATATTGAAAACTATGTCTATAACGGCCACTCAAACATAACTGCCCTTTGTTAGTTCGACGTCAGTAGCTCCGGACTACAGACGAGTAGAATTGTCACATCAGCATCTCTCTCTATGCTAATTAATATGTATTACGAATTAAATGAATAGAAATAAAACGTGTGTAATATAAGTGGTAAGAACATAGTAATAAATGTTCTTACACTACCACAAAATAAATAAAATATAAATAAAAATAAATCAGCAAGGATAATACCACGTCCTCTGAATTATACTGTCGGTAGTATGGGCACTAATTGGACTTGAGGTTTTGGTACGATATCTGGTTTACCTATGTTCGTAACATGTTCTTGAGATAAGCGCAGTTTTTCCCCTATCTTGAAAAAATATCTTACGGAACACAGCTGCGACGAGATACAAATCACATACCAGAAAACTTTTAAATTGGTGTTTTACCCAACACCATAAGTGCCTAGGATAACGTTATGATGCAAAAATGTATTTATTTAAATTACGCATATTGAAGAGTTTATACACGGGTTGTTATCAATAATAATATAATAGATGGCATACAAAAGTTCTTATCCTTCTATTTTAAGAAAAATCACTTAAAATTATCTAATCTAATAATAAATGCGTGGTTTAACAATTTTTAGACTAACTAATGTATTTTATTAATTTAAAATCATTTCAAATTATTGTTTAGATCTTAACATTATTGGCAATGTTAAACATAAACTATTTTGTGATGAGTTTATTTCAAAACCTTTTGAATTTCTTGTACTGTTAGTTTGAACTAAACTTAAATATGATTTCTACATAATAAATTGTTATATTTTTTAGTAAAATACGCTAAAAACTTGGAATTCATCATAACATTAATAAATAAGTACTCNTAGTAAAATACGCTAAAAATTTGGAATTCATCATAACATTAATAAATAAGTACTCTCAGAAATTTTTTATTTATGTCAAAATATTATTATTTATAAAAGATTCAAATATATTCGTCATAGTGCAAAGAATAAATGAAGCTAAACAAGCAATTGGTTATTGATGTATTCAAATTAATAATTAAACTTGTAAGCTAAACTCACATTTAACCAGCTTAACTTAACAAGAACCCGAGGAGGGTTCATCATGGTGCGAAGCAAGCCAAAGGCAATAATAGAGCACCATAGATTTTGTACTTTATCTTAGGAATAAAGGGTTCTATGAAAATTTTTTGAATTAGTATAACAATTATTAAAATTTATTCTATATTATAATATAAAGTTGTCATAAACAGAACAAAATAAAATTGAAAAAAATGTTTAATAAAACCACAGATCAAAATACACTAAACTAAATAAATTTATGGATCAGACATAATAAGAGGAAAATATACATAATAAAAACACTACAATAAAATATTAAGGTAAAAAAAAACAAAATTAGTTATTGAGTTATGGTTAAGGATTTAAAAAAAAAATTCATAAAATGTTTAAAATTATAAAGGTGACTACATAAATCATAAAATAGAAACATAAATTAAAACTTATGTATAGGTTAACTAACCTATACAGTCATAAATAAAAATAAAAAAAACGTGACCCTTATGGTCAAAAAACAAAAAAAAAAATAATGAATTAGAATACGTACACTATGCGAAAATTCAAAAAGATAAAATTTACCTCATAACAATTATCGGATATTGAGATGTCCAATAAGTGGTTATATGTAGCTATTTGTGCCATAAATGGCAAACGAAATAATACATTTTTTATTTCTCCATCATGAATTTGCACAGCCGTCAATAAAAATGTTGAATTAGCTTGAGCGAGCACTGCATCACTTAAGTTCTCCCCATTAATAAGAATAAACCACTTTGTAATATGTTCTAGTGACAGCGTCACGTCCATCGCCGAGCTTAAAGTGTCAACTTCAAAAGTAGGGTGGGTCTATTGTTGCGTAAAAATCCCCGTCACAAGTGACACACCACGGTGGCATAAACGTGACCCAACATGGCGCAAGTCACATACTACTTTCTTGAAAGTTTATTCGCGATCATGATGTAGGGCATTTTGGCTGCGCATGAGTCTCGAATAATCGGAAATGCAAATGTAATGGGATTTATCTGAGTCGTCGATTTTCAACAGGCTAAAATGATCCCGTTGCTATTGGTCAGAGATTCAAAGCGGATACATCGACCACTTCTTCTTGAAATCGCCCCGTTCCAAGTCGTACACGTCGACGGTAATATCCCTTAGAATACTGTTGACGGGCATTTAGGCTCAACCCCTCAAACGGATGTGANTAAGAATACTGTTGACAGGCATTTAGGCTCAATCCCTTAAACGGATGTGATTTGATTTTTTAAATGACTAAAATCATTTTTATTTATTTATGGTATTATTATTATAGTCAATTACAATATTTTCTAATAATGTGTTTGAGCCGGTCGATAAGGTGTGACATAACAGCTGATAACTAGTTCTTATCAGCCATTTTCAGCACCTAACAATGACTGCGCCAGTTGAAAACCCAAGTAGTTTGCACGACAATGTTGTGTGTGTTGGAATAGGCGTTTTGTTTATTTTTTACACAGCGTAAAGTACGTACGGAATTTGTGTTATTTGCCTGTGGTTAATTATTTTCGTTTCTATAATTAAAAATATTGGTGTTCTAAAAGATAAAATATTCGACGGTTTAAATTAATCTTTTAAATTACTGTTGTTTTTTATGCTATCGAGAATAATGTGTAAATAATAAATCAAACTCGATTTTCAGCAACCACTTGGATTAGTTTACATCATCGGCCCTCGTGGTATTGCATTCGGTGTTTATATTAAAAGTTATATTGCGGTTATAATCAGTTCGCGGAATCAAGGATGAGCTGAGGAGCACAAGTAGGAGGTCGGATTGGCTTTTAATTATTATTTTTGTACAATATTATTTAAAAAAACGGTAGGACAGGAGTTGCTGCACAGCGTGGACGTTGCATGTTTAAAACAAGTATAAACGATATCTGACAGTGATTAAAATCGCTATCATAAAAAACGCTTCGAAGCAAATCTGTAGAGAGTGTTTAATTTTAAGAAATTGGTAAATGATTTAAAAACCAAAATCAACTTAGACTTTTTCTATCACTTGTAAGTTTTAATATTCTTACTATTTTTTAATAATGAGTATTTACGTACAAAGAATTAATTAAAAAAAAATGGTTTTTAAATTATTATTAGTTTTGATTTCTAATATGATAAAAATAATTAGTACAAAATGACATTTTAACCTAATTTTTTGGTCCTTTAAAATTGTTTTTGTGAAAATTTATAATAAAAAAAAGTTTAATTTGTTACAATTACTTTTAATTCAAGTTGAAAGTTTGAAATTGACATCATTAAATAGAATATTTTATGCGAATTAAAAAAATGTTATTGTTAAGATTATTATATAGCCAGGAAATTTTATAATTACTATTAACAGTAAATTTATCAGAAAAGCTCAATATTTTTTTTGCATTTTTGTCGTCTAAATAGGTCAAGTGAGAGCTGAGAAAATAAATGATAGTCACAAAAAAATCCATATAGTAAAATAATTTTATAATGAATAAGAAATTTCTTCTTACGAGGGAACACTACAGTGATGGTGCCCTTAATATTTATTGAAGTTATTGAATTTGAATGAGATAAAAATCGAACTTTGAATTTTTCTGTATCTCAAAAATAATTAGGAAAAAAATTCACTCGCACGGGTGGGTGTTTTGAACCTTGTACCCTAGACGTTAAAGAATACAAGTTTTACCGATTCAGCAATCGTACGTCACATTTCTTCATTGAAAAAATGGTAAATTAAGCTAATTTAAATTTCAAGGTTATTTTTCTAGATTTAAGAAAAGGAAAAAAAATTAAATAAGTTTAACCATATATGCTATATCAATTTGATTTATATATAGTATTTATGAAAATTATTGTACTCCCCTTGCAGGTATTTTAAAATAAAATACAAATCGAGATTTTTAACACAAAAATAACATGTTTTTGAATATGGTAGTCAATTTCACCCTAAAGACATATCAGAGGTCAAATTTTTTTTTTCAAATTAAAGTATATTACATAAGCTTTAATTTAAGATACATATAAAATTGTCAGACCTTCCGGAACATTTTCAAAAGTTAAGTTAAAAATAATATACCAAATGATAGGTGAATACCTAAGGTATCTATAAAAAAAAATTATATTGATATGTTCATTTTTGAAAAAGTTACTGTAGTTTTTAGTAAAAAAAATTGAAAAAATTTTAAAAATTAGCGATTTTTAAATTTGTAATTTTTTGGGGTATTTCACCCATTTACGGGTACCGAGGGAATTTTTTTCAATTTTTGAAAACTGAAACTATACGGTTTTGAGGGTAATGTCGTCGACAAGATACAATTTGTGATTTTTTGATATATTGTTCATCAAAATCAATTCAGTGAGAGCTAAGATTGAGCGTTCACAGACACAAAAAAAAAATCAAATAAAAAAACACAAATAATAAAAAATCATAATAAAATGAATATCTTTTCAGCTTCGCATTGAAGTTGTTTAGAGAAAATCTTAGAATAAGTACGGGGACGTTCAACTAATTGTAAAAGTTTTATTAATTGATTATTATATGATGGTATGATTTAATTCTGGTGTACTTTAATTGGTATTTACAAGTGAAATTTATTTTTAATCGTCTGGATAAAAGGCCGGAAATAATTTTATATTATTATTATTTTATAATTTTATAATAATTTTATATTATAAAATAATAATAGGTACACAAGTACTAAATATTAATATATTAAATAAATATTAATATTAAATCATTATATTTCTTAAAAATAGTACTTGGTGTAACTGTTTCATAACAGATAATAATTATTATCAGCTTATGTAAGACAAGATCTATTAACTTACATTGGTATTTCCATAAAATATTATAATTATCATTATTTATGTATGTATGTCATGTATAGCAGGAAATATTTGATAGTCTATTGGAACTGTGTCAACTATTAAATTTAATATTAAATACGTCGCCCTAATTTTAATGTACTTTACTTTACCAATGTAAATTAGAAATGTGTCGTTTGTATAACATATTATGATGCAAATTAGTTTTTAAAAGATTATTATGTATTCAGGAAATTTTATAATTACTCTTTACAGTAAATTTATAAGAAAAGATCTTAATTTCGTTAAAATCCTATTTTTTTGTATTAATATCGATATAATTTACTTCAATAGAAATTATAGTTATCATTTCTATGTTACTCTACAAGGTGTAAAAAGTTTCTATAATTGTAATATTCAAAATTGTTGAAAGAGGATTATATTGTGGATTGACGAAAGATAAATTACAACACGATTAGTTAAAATAGAATTGTTTATAAATTATAAATATTTATACCAAGAAAGTAGTTCAAAGGTCGGAAGTAATTTTACACAATGTCTTTTAGCTTCTATGCGAAGCTGAGAAGGTTTTACTATGATGTGTTTTATTGTATTATGTGTTTTTTTTGCGTCTGTTACCACTTTTTCTCAGTTCTCACCGAACGGATTTCTTTCAACGACACGTCAAAAGATTACAAATCGTATCTAGTCGAAGACATTACCCTTCAAAATTGAAAAAATTTCCCTCGTTCCTCGTAAATGGGGGAAACCTCCAAAAAAATTACAAATTTAAAAATCGCTAATTTTCGAAATTTTTTCAATTTTTTTTACTAAAAACTGCCGTAACTTTTTCAAAAATGAACATATCAATATAATTTTTTTTTATATAGATGCTTGATGTCTTTACCTATCATTTGGTATATTTTTTTTGTAAATCTGACACTTAACCTGCCCACAGGGGGGGATTTAAAATGACAACTTTTTCACAAAAAATTTACTTTTTCAACTTAACTTTTGAAAATGTTCCGGAAGGTCTGACACTTTTATATATATCTTAAATTAAAGCTAATGTAATATACTTTAATTTGAAAAAAAAAAATTTGACCTCTGGACTTGTGTTCATGGTGAAAACTGCTACCGAATGCTATTTTTGTGTGAAAATTTTCGATTTTATAATTTACATTTTTTACTTTAAAGTGCTATAACTTTTTAAAAAATGTATGGATCAATACAATTTTTTCATGAGAAGTAGTATTTATATACATCTTTCATTGGATATACTTTTTTTTTAAATCAGACTATTTCCCTATATATGGGGGGGCTTCAAATATAAAAAATGCATGTAGAAAGTAGAACTTTTTCAACTTAACTTTTGAAAGTGTTCCGGAAGGTCTGACACTTTTATATATATCTTAAATTAAAGCTAATGTAATGTACTTTAATTTGAAAAAAAAAAATTTGACCTCTGGACTTGTCTTCATGGTGAAAACGGCTACCGAATGCTATTTTTGTGTGAAAATTTTCGATTTTATAATTTACATTTTTTACTTTAAAGTGCTATAACTTTTTAAAAAATGTATGGATCAATACAATTTTTTCATGAGAAGTAGTATTTATATACATCTTTCATTGGATATACTTTTTTTTTAAATCAGACTATTTCCCTATATATGGGGGGGCTTCAAATATAAAAAATGCATGTAGAAAGTAGAACTTTTTCAACTTAACTTTTGAAAGTGTTCCGGAAGGTCTGACACTTTTATATATATCTTAAATTGAAGCTTATGTAATATAATTTAATTTGAAAAAAAAAATTTGAACTCTGGAAAAAAAATTTCGGACTTTATTTTGTCTTCACGGCGAAAATGGTTACCGAATGCTATTTTCGTGTGAAAATTCTCGATTTTATTATTTATATTATATTTAACTTTATAATGCTATAACTTATTGAAAAGTTTATGGATCCACACAATTTTTTTATGAGAAATAATATTTTTTAATAAACCCTTTTTTATTCGACATACTTTATCTTAATCGAGATATTAATAAGGAACCAGCAGATCAAGTAGCTTTTGGAATAAAACACCAATTTTTTTAAAATTAAACACTATCTAAAGATTTGCATCGAAGCGTTTATTTTTGATAGTGATTTTAATCACTGTCAGATATCATTATACTTGATCCAACTATGCCACATCATCACTGTGCCTCGACCCCCCTTAGCTGGGTTGGGTTTTTGCAAGCGATATTGTTTTGTTTGTTCACAAGCGCTAAATATTAAGTCGTCATATTTTTTAAAAATAGTTCTTGTTATAACTATTTTCATAACAGATAATAATTATTCTCAGCTTATGTAAGACAATATCTATTAATTTATATTGATATTGACTTAAAATATCAGAATTATCATTATATATGTATTTATGTCCTGTATAGCAGGTACTATTTAATAGTCTATTAGATCTCGTCCAACTATTTAATTTAATAGTAAGTACAATTGTATGTATTACTTATGCAAATTAGAGCTGTGTCATTTGTATAAAATATGACGTTATTTAGTTTTAAAAATTTTGAATAATTTAACTAAATATTAAATAAAACAGAATTATTATTCAAGAAATTAAAGAGCCTCATTCATTAAATATGTAGTACATGTTTTGAAATATTGGTTTTTTATATTCAATACATTAAAATCTTGCAATAACTTTTTTTTCGGGTAACTTATTATTATTATTAACTTAATACTTATTATTCCAAAAACGTGGCACTTGCTCAAACCGTACAGACTTTTATTAAACTTACATACACAAATTGTATTATCTTCATAAACTTTTAGTTGTACCATGAAGTTTTCTTCTTCTAAAGTTTTTATAAAAATTCTGTTTTTAATATCAAATTGCCTCAGTTTGAAGTTCAACTGTCTTATAACTGGTTAAAGTCAAATTTGCTTTGATAAGAAGGTTTTTATCACGTTATATGATATGTTTTAGTGAT